CATCGCATTGCTGCACTAGGGCGGCTAAATTGTTGTTACCGAGGTCGGCCGACGAGAATTTGTGCAATCCTCGGTGATGGCAGCTACTCTGGTTGAAGTGATGACGGCACTTACTGGTTCGTGTTTGCAGGAACCATCGCAAGGAGAAGGAATATGTGGCCTGTAATTTTCTTCCCCAGGTCTCAAGCGGCCATTAATGGCTTAAGGTTGATGGCAGATCTAGATTTTCGAGAGTATGACCGATAGGTGAGGGATGTTCCGCACCCACCGCTGTTGAGGAGGTGTGGATGTTAGGGATCCGTATCAATGCTGCTGTTCCATAGGGGTCTGGCGCGGAGCCTCCTCTTCTGGCCCTCACCATCCTCGATTGCTTCCTGTGAAACTGGGTTCAAGTCTAAGAGTTCAGCTTTACCAATTTCAAATATTTTTTTATTTACCCCAAGTCATTTTTGTGCTGAATTCTTAAACTGTAATGATTTTTTCATAGATTTGCACGCGTTAATGCTATCTTCTCTCCCAAGTTCTACCGGAAAAAAATGAGAGATTAGCTAGCTCTCAATGAAAGCACCAATGTTGGTAGAAAATAACCCGGGTAGAGAATTCGGCAGCATTTCAGTATAGTGAGAATAACTTAGCAGAATACAAGGGGTTGATGGCCTATTTATAGACGTATACAATATGCCCACCAATTAAGTGCTACGTGGGTCTGGCTCGATTAATCTACTATTACTAACGCTAATGGGCCAGCAAGCCCAATAAGGAATTGAATAATCCCGGGCCAATATCTGCTAGCCGGACTGTGATGTGAGCTTGGTCGAGCCAAAGCTCGGGTGTAATGGGCCGATAATCTTGGACCCGTCCCATTATCCCAACACCAAGTATATAAAAGGGTAAATTAGAACATGGTAAAAAAAGAAACAACCCTGATCAACTACTCATCCTTGCTATATAATGCACGGGTAAAATATAAATATTTTGGTTTAAAAATTGATGACAATAAGTAATACTATCCTATAAAGGAGTACTCAACAAAACATTTTTAACAATACAAAATGTCATTGTCATATAAAATATTATGCACCTAAGAGTAATTTATGAAAATTCAATAAGCAAACGGTAATTACAAAACTGAACGTCACTGTTGTTGTATATATAATGAGGTTGTTTGGAGGTTTACACATTAAATCTTTACACATAAAATGATTGCATACAAAATTTAGAGAAACAATCACTTTGCCTAAATGGAGTCTAGATTTATGTGCTTAACTAACCTATTTTTTTACACAGTACTACCTATTTCTCATAATATTTAATATTTTTTTACATATTCAATATGGATGTCATATTAAAGATAACAAAAATTACCTAATTTGATACGGAGTACAATTTTTGAAAAAATGGAACATAAATGAAAAGGTTATCATAATTTTAGAAAAAGTACTATTGGAAGCAAACAAGTATATATTGATTTGATGTTTCATTATTTATGTATTCCAAGAGTGTTGTGTACTCCATATATTGAGTTGCGCACGCAATGCCACACAATGCCACAGTGAATAGACACCTTCCTGAACATTGTGAAATTCCAGTTTTGATCCTTCCCTTGGGTGGGAAAACTCATCCATTTTGTCCTCCTTTTGTATATAAATAGATTTCATGAAACAAAAACTTCATTTAATTAAAAAGCATTTGTCAATAAACAAAATCGAACATCTCAAACATGACTTTTTGTGGGCACCGAACCATCCTTCTTAAACTTCGCAAGGACTTTTTAAAACGTGATGAGATTGGCTTTGCACCAGACCATCTGGTTCCTTAATTATTTTAATCTCGAGTATTAAATCGACCAACCTCATATCCTTCATGCCAAATTTAGAATTTAGCATGCTCTTGGGTGATTTAATCATTAGATTATTATTGCCAACGATGAATATATCATATACATATAAAAACAAAATGATATAACCTTCTGATGTGCTCTTCACACAGACACATTTGTCACTCCCGTTTATCTTAAACCCATTCATTAACATTGCATGATTGAACTCTTCATGCCACTGTTTAGGGGCTTGATTCAGTCCGGCCATACAATGACTTGAGTCACTTGACCAACCTACACACCTTCCTTTCTTGACCCAGGAACAATAAACCCCTCAGCTCGGGTTGTTCCATATATATAAATATATATATATATATAGGTTTTGGATCAAATAAAAACATTTCTTAACGTGAAAACTAAAAACCGTTCACTTTTATCTGAATGTGATGCACGTTAAGGGTGATCTGTTGTACTTTTTGAACTTCAGTCGAACAATGCTAAATAAATAAAAATGCGGAGGTATTTTCGTAAATAAGTCAAAGTTTCTTGTCAATGCGAAAAAGTGCAACACAGAAACGTAATAGTGCATCACACTGTGAAAAAAGTGGACGGTTTACAGTTTTCACGATAATAATAGTTTTTATTTGATCCATACCATATATATAGTATATCTCGCCATATAGAGAAGAGGCGTTTTTATCAATTGATAAACTTCCAATTTTCGCAATGCAACGATGAAAAGTATCATCCTAATGGAGTTTTTTCTCGTCACATGAGAATGCATGTCGAAACAATCGTGGACATCGAGTCCTTAATGTTTGAAAGTGAAAACATAACCATTGAATTTTCTTCATAAAATGTAGATTATGTCCATCAAATTTTAGCTTGGAAGAAGACACTTCATGGATGCTGCTACAATGGGACTGTGTTGAGCTCCTATCAGAAGTTATCTTTTCTCTCGACTCATTTTAGTTATGTATTTTATTTTGTTGTTTGGATTCTTGTTAGTCTATATTGCTAGGTTTCCCAAGATGATTGAAAATTTAACTTATTTTTATGTTGTTAGAAGTTTTGTCTCAAGTTACATTTTCATTGAGTCATCTACTTTTCAACTTGACTCAAGTTACCTTTCAATTGATGCCATTTATATTTTGAATTGGCTCAATTTACATTTTACATACATGTGAGTTATGTTTCTACTTGCATCAAGTTACATTTTGCATACACCCGATTTGCATTTCGTATATGGGAGGTGAGAAAATAATTGCTAGAGGGAGTAACTAACGCGAATTACTTTTCAATGCACCAGTTACATTTGCAATTATCTGAGAGATTATATTAGTAGTAATGTGAATAACATTTCAGTGCACATGATTGACATCAGGAAAACTCTCAAACAAAAACATAATCAGTGTTCACACATGTTTTTTAATTAAAACATATTGAGCCGATCTCATGGTCTAATGGGATCCAAATATTTATTATTGGGGACCTCAATTAACATAGACTCTCTTTATATTCTTTAGTTGATAAAGAGTGGTCTAATTGGATTTGCGTCTGGGAGTTATTTTTAAACAACTTTACGAAGTGTTGTTTATAATAACCTAATTGATCACACCCTAAGAAAATACTCCGTATATGGTGTTGCTCTTTACTCGATAGTAATGTCATGTAGTTTTCATCTCAAATTTTCTTGTTGAATGACCGCTCCATTATGAGCTATAAACTATGAAATAAAACATATTAACTTGTAGTATGAATGCATTCTTGTATAGGTTGTTCAACATAAATTAACTCGTACAAATTTTGGAGCAAACAGTTACAAAAAAATAAATTGAGTAATAGTAAATCCTACCTAACCATACCGCATGGGGATTGGGAACCACTTCTTCAAATATGTTCCTATAGATGATACATCCTTCTTCACTTGAAAAACTTCTCACTTTTCTTTTTCATGTCTCCAATAAATATCTTTTTTCGTTATTTTATTAACAAATTTCAATTCATTTACTATACTACCATTAAGTAATAATAACTGCACAATGTTAAATAGTGCCCCAACAATGTCAAAAAATGTAATTTATAGTAACATATACCCTCAGTAAAAAGCTTAGTTCAAAAAAGGATGACACTCTATCCCCGAATGCCCCCAACACCGACCAAACAGTTAGATGAGAGGATGTAAATTGGACTTTAATCACAAGCTGACAGTAGAGAGTGAAGCTCTAGCCTTGGTACTTGCAGAGGCTCAATGCATTTTAGCATAGTAACCTTTTATTGCAGTTGTCCGGATTCGAATTCTGAGACTTACCCCTTGTGGTATCTCCTATCTACCGGTTGAGCTACGCCCACCGGTCAAAAAATCAAAAGAAATCAACTTATTTCCTTAAAGTGCCTTGACTGCCTTCTATTCAAATCAGAAAGTTTAAATAGGGATGGTGGAAGTAAATAAGCTTGATGTTAGGTGCTATTTATATATAATGTTTTTGCCATCAATGCTTCACTCTTATAACCAACTGATTTTCCTACTTTTTGCATAAAGTCTTGAGAAATCTGCAGCCTTATTCTTTCTTTAACATGAATGTAAGAGCCACAACCCCAAAAGATGATGACAATGTTTGATTCAATCTAAACACACTTCATGGGGATTATACACATGAAAAATTACAAGAGGCTAATGCAGAAGATTTATATCATGATGAAGTTTGGCACAACAAACAGCAGTTGATAACTTTGCAGTCTAAAGTCTAATGTCAAACCTTTGTCACAAAAACAAGTTACTGACAATGGAAGAGAAAAAGAACAATAAGTTAAGATTAATGATTAATAATGCATGACCATGCAAATCTATATAATCTAAACATGGTGTCCTTCAAGGAGTTTTTTGGTGTACACACTTTTTACACATGTCTGTGTAAGGTTTTTTTTTAATGTCTGTACAGACATAACGTATTTTTAAAATACGTTATGTCTGTACAGACATAAAAAAAACCTTACACAGACATGTGTAAAAAGTGTGTGCACCAAAAAGTGTGTACCTTTAGAATTTTTCTTACAAAATAGGAGATGAATTTATGGAACATCATCAAACTTTAAAGGACCATATTGGATATGATGGTCCATTCAAGATCCCAATATTGAGAGAACAACTTGAACTAAAAAATAACATATTTAATCTCACCTTCATCAAATCTTTGCCCCCCGAATTCATAGAAAGGAGTGAAACAGGGGGCATAATACTCCCATCTATCATTGAATGAACAAGCCTAAATGAATTCAAATGATTCCAAGTTAAGAATGAAAAAATGTATTGAAAAAGTAAAGTATATATATTTATTCAACATACCAACTCCACTAAGGATTCCAGAGGTCTCTTTAATCCAGTCAAACTGTGCTGTTTAAGCTTCTGTTTCCTTTTCCGTGTTAGCGTAGGACTCTAGAGTAGTTGAAACCATGAAAAGTTAGATCCCATAAAGAAGATGGACAATATATATACTGGAATGATTATATTATACAACATACCTTCTGATATTTTAGCCAAAACTTTTTCTGAATTCTTATCATAGAAAGACAAGTATCTTGGATATCCCTCACGAGACTAAGAAGAATACTATCCATGCCCTTGCAGCATTCATTGTCCATGCACTTAATGACAGGGAAAAACTTATCCACCAATTCGTCAAATTCACGCTTCACTTGTTTTACAGGCAACAACTCAATGCACTACAATTAGGATGTATATCAGTTATGGTCCAATTAGACACACTTTGTGTAGAGCAATAATATTATGATTATCAATTACTATCATTATGCTTATAAGATTGAATGTAGCAGCTTAGATACCTTAGTTTGCTCTATTATGAACTTCTGGGAAATTAAGGGGTCCAGCTGTTTGTTCTGTGCTTCAGCAGATTTCTTGACAATATCATGCTGTTTTTCAATATCTTCCATCCTTTTAAGAAGAGGATACGCATCACCCCAAACTTTGGTGTGTTTGTAAAATGAAAGCTATCAAAAGTCAACAAAAAAGGTGGTAACAGAAAAATTATATTGATGATATTGCCTTTATACATTTTAGTGTTTCAAAATAATTGAACCCCTCGTATAATCTTACCCCGCGGTAAATCTGATTTGCAACAGAAATCTTCATTTCAAGATCATCACTGTCATCCCCAAAACTATCAAGGACACCATTCTGTAATATCACTCTGACTACCAAATCTCTCTTTAAACTCAGCAGCCAAATTAGTGTATTCTGGAATAAAAAAGGCCCCAAAGTTCTGAAGCAAACCAAAATCATTATTATAAAGTTAAGTTTGAACTAAGAAGGTAATATCATTTCCTAGGATAATATACCTGTTTGAAAACTTTATGAAGTAAATGTAATGTTTTTCTCGTCCACTCAATGACGGTTGAAAGTCTCACACAACGATTACGCATATCATCCGGCTCAGCATAATTTTCCTGTTTAAAGAAAAAGCAATAATAACAGCCAATATAATAGTTCAACCAAAAGCATGCGTTGGATATATATACATATAATATAGAGTGCTATTCCTGTCCGGCCACCTCATTTTGGGTGGTTCCCGGTGACATTTTTGGCTCAATTTTTTTGAGCATGTTCCTAATGAAGTATAGACGATCTCCATCAAATTTGAGAAAAAAATTCAATCGAAGAAATTGGAATGTGAAAATCCTTGCCTTCATTGAGTAAATCATCTACTATAAATACATGGAGTATCCTCCTATACTACACGGATGAATATACATGGAAATAGGCTAACATAATGTCAATGATATACTATCCATAATTACCTAAAATGAATCTAGCCACTAAATGAACCAAATACAAAATACAAGAAATATGGCAATAATATACATAACCGTTTGGTTAATACGCCCCCGCAGTCCCACCGTGAAGTGGCCGAACGGTGAGACTGTTTCGGAATTCCTCAAACAAAAGGCGCGGAAGTCCCTTGGTGAAGATGTCCGCGAATTGGTACCGTGTGGGAACATGAATTATTCGGACCTCCCCGCGGGCAACCTTTTCCCGAACAAAATGAATATCAATTTCAATGTGTTTGGTCCGTTGATGTTGAACGGGGTTGCCGGCCATGTATATGGCACTTATGTTATCACAGTATATAATAGATGCTTTCGAGGGAGGGCAATGAAGTTCCAGTAGGAGATTGCGGAGCCAACAAGTTTCGGTGACCACGTTGGCGACGCCACGGTATTCGGCCTCGACACTAGAGCGGGAAATGGTGGTTTGGCGCTTGGAGGACCAAGATAGAATATTGTCTCCCAAGAAGACGCAATAGCCAGACGTGGACCGTCGAGTGTCGGGGCAGCCACCCCAATCGGCGTCAGTGTATGCAGTAAGAGAGTGGGCCGGTGAACGATGAAGGTGTATACCGAAGTGAGGTGTGCCGCGAACGTACCGAATAATCCGTTTGAGTGCATGAAGGTGAGCCTCTCGTGGATCATGCATGAAGAGACAAATCTGTTGGACAGCATAGGAGATATCGGGCCGGGTAAAGGTGAGGTATTGTAGTGCGCCAGCAAGACTACGGTAAAGAGACGGGTCATGTACTGGGGGACCCGCTGCGGCACTAAGTTTAGCACTGCAATCGACTGGGGTAGCAACGGAGTTGCACTGATCCATACCCGCACGGCTAATGATTTCCTGGGCATACTGATTTTGGGATAAGAAGAGCCCGCTGGGCAGTGTGGTTACCGAAATGCCGAGGAAGAAGGAGAGGGGCCCAAGGTCAGTCATGGAGAACTCTCGGTGGAGGTGGGCCAGAATGGTGCGCCGGAGGGTGTCGGAGGAGGCCGTGAGGATGATGTCGTCAACGTATAGCAAGAGAAAAGCGGTGTCGTGTTTATGCCGGAGGATGAACAAAGAATGATCACACTTGCTATGGACGAACCCGAGGGTGGCTACATATGTGGTGAATCTTTGGTACCAAGCTCGGGGGGCTTGCTTTAGTCCGTAAAGGGATTTGAGCAATCGACAAACATGTTGTGGGCGGGAAGAGTCACGTTAGCCGGGCGGTTGGTGCATGAAGACGGTTTCCTCAAGTTGTCCGTGAAGGAAGGCATTCTTGACGTCTAATTGATGGAGAGGCCAAGAATGAGAGAGTGCAATGCTTAGGACGGTGCGGATAGTGGCCGGTTTAATAACCGGGCTGAAAGTTTCATCACAATCCACCCCTATTTGTTGAGAGTTGCCATTCACCACTAACCTTGCTTTGTGCCGTTCAAGAGAGCCATCGGACCTGTATTTATGCTTAAACAACCACATACAACGAATAATGTTAGTATCGGGCGGTCGGGGAACCAACTCCCACGTCCTATTTTTAATAAGCGCACTAAACTCGTCATCCATGGCGGCTTTCCAACACGGGTCATGGAGGGCAGTGATGGGACTTTTGGGTATGGGAGAAGGGGTGAGGTTGGCCGAGAGGTTGAGGATCTGTTTGGGTTTGAAGATGCCGGATTTGGCTCGGGTAACCATGGGGTGAGGAGCTGGGGCAGTGTGGCTGGGATCTAAAGGGGAATCGGGTGGATGCGGGGAAGTGGGTAACTGTTCGGTGTTGATGGGGGGTGTAGGTGAGTGGTCAGGGGTGTGTTGACTGGTGGATGAGGTGGATCGCATGGGAATGCGGGGTTGACTGGGGGTGTCAGTGGAGGAAAATGAAGAGGGGTCCGTTTGTGAAGGAGTTTGGGAGGTGTCGGATGGGGTTTGAGCATTAATCAAAGAGGGCTGCACGTGGGGGTTGGTTTGGGGGGAATTGGGCGTATGCATGGGTATCAAGGTTCATACGTAAGAGAGGGTGGGTAAGGTCATATGTGGGTGGGTTCAAATTTGGATTTTTGTGAGAAGTGTGAAAAGGAAATACGGCCTCATTAAAGGTGACGTGTCGTGAAATTATGATTTTGGGAGAATTTAATGTCATGCAAATGTAACCTTTGTGATTGTCGGGATACCCTAAAAATACACAAGGGGTGGACCGGGGTTGAAGTTTGTGGGTAAGAGGGAGTGTATGAGGAAAGCATAAGCATCCGAAGACACGAAGGTGAGTATATGTGGGTATTTTATGGTATGGAGAAGTGTGGGAGAGCGGTATTGTATAGTGTGAGAGGGTAGGATGTTGTGTATGTAGGTGGCCATTTTAAGGGCATGCGGCCACAAAGTGAGGGGTAGTGAGGCGTGGATGAGTAGGGTACGGGCCATATTATTGAGGGTGCGGATGGTGCGTTCGGCTTTGCCATTTTGGGGGGAGGTGTAAGGGCATGAGAAACGAAAATGAATGCCATGAGGGGCACCGAAGTGACTAAAATTGTGGTTACGAAATTCGGTGCCGTTATCACATTGTAAGATTTTTATACGTTGTTCAAATTGTGTGTGAACAAAGTTATAAAATGTGACAAAAGTGGAGAATGTTTGTGATTTATGTTGTAGGGGGTACACCCATAAGAACTTGGAAAAATCATCCAAAAATAATACATAATAACGATGTCCGCTATGACTTAGTACAGGAGATGTCCATAAATCACTATGTATTATTTCAAATGGTTTAGAAGTAGTAGATAAGGAATGAGAAAAAGGCACCTTGACATGTTTGCCCATTTGACATGAAGTACAAACAGACGCATGAAGTTTATTACAAGAAATAACATTATTCATTCTAAGAGAATTAAAAATGGGATCTCTCGGATGACCAAGGCGACTGTGCCAAAGTTCAGCGGGGATAGTTATTAGGGCGGAAGCATGAGAGGGAAAAGAGCCGGAACTTGGGCGAACGGGATAGAGGTGGCCGGAACTATTGCACCACAGTATTTGTGTCCCTGTGTGGAGATCCTTCACAGAAAAACCAAAGGGGTCAAATGCAACGGAAACGTTATTATCAGTGGTAAATTGACGGACAGAAATGAGATTTTTAATGAGGTGGGGGGCATGTAGGACAATTTGCAAGTGGAGAGGGGAGGGGGTGTTGGGCAGTGTGGTGTAGCCGTGACCCACGATGGGGACGGACATGCCGTTGCCAACCATGATACGATTATTCGTATGCAAATTAAAATAAGGAGTGAGAGTACCTGAGGAAGAAGTCATGTGTGAGGTTGCCCCGGTGTCCATATACCAATTGTTGTCCGGCGGAGTGAGGGTCATGGTGTGCATGGCAGCTTGTATGTCAGTTGGGGTGGTACCGGTGGTGGAGTAGTAGGCCTGTGGGCGTGGTCCAAGAATGCCGGGGGAGGGGTTAGAGGGGGGTTGTTTGTGTGGCAGTGGGTTGGAGGGGTATGGGCAGGGTGGTGCGGACCAAGGGTGAGGAGGCCAATAGGACCAAGGGTTAGGGGGGTATAGCCAGTGGCCGGGTGGTGGGGTGGGGGCCGAGTATGGAGGACGGGTGGAGCGTTGGCGGCCACCACGACCCCGAGAGCGGTTGTGCCGAGGTTCTGGGCGGGGGTGAAGAGACTGGGGACGAGGAGGGGAGTGAGGGGGGTTACGGTCCGTGTGCACCATGGCGGCAGCGAGTGGGTTACCGGCTTGTTGATTCTTACGAGCCTCTTCGAGAGACAACATGGACCGGGCCTTGGAGAAAAGCGGGAGAGGATCGGCTTGTTGGATGAGGGAAGCCACGGTGTCAAAATGTTCCGGCAGTCCGTTAACAAGGCGAAGGACAAGGCGACTATTGGTGACCGGAGCGCCGACGTTGCTTAGTTGGTCGGCTAGGAGCTTGAGGGCTTTGCAGTAGGAGGCAACGTTGGGAAATTGATCAAGACGGGTATTGGAAAACTGATTTTCCAAGTACACCGCCCTTGAGTGTTTATTGTCCTGGAAGATGTCCGCAAGGTGTGACCAAGCCATGTGAGCCGTGGAGTCGGGCTCGATGATGGTGTGGAGAAGGTCGTGAGAAATTGTGCCGTAGATCCATTGTAG